AAAAATTTTTTTTTTTTTTTTTTTTTTTTTTTTTTTAGGATATTGTCTCTCTGTAGCTCAGGCTGGTCTTGAACTCACTATGTATCCCAGGTTGCCTTCAAACGCTTGGTGACCTTCCTGCCTCAGCCTCCACAGTGCTGGGATGACAGGCATATGCCACCACACCGAGCAAGAATAAAAATCTACAACGATTTACCCAAGGTTTAACTGTGGCTCTTTGAAAAAGAATATTGTTTGAGAAGATATCTACAATTTCTGGATAGTATAGTCTCTGATCAGAACATGTAAGACACAGCAAAAAGATGTTCACATTAAAAATAACGCCGTTTTCATTAGCAACATGCTCCTTGCCATGAGGGACTGATATCGTGAACCCCATCCTTCCTTGATATGCGTGTAAATCCTGCCCATAGTCCTCAGGGGCCAACAGGACAACAACGCGGACGCCTTACCTGCCGAAGCAGCCGCGGCACCGGCCCTCGCGCTCCTTGTAGTTCCACAGGCCAATGGACCGGCCGTTCAAGTAGGCCTCCCCCATGCAGCCTTTAAAGTGCGTGACCTTCACGGCCGGAGATTTCTAAGGCAGACAAACACACAGAACCCCAGGGAGAAATTCTCTAAGTACACGAAACTTCTCCTGGGGCCCTCCTGCCTGCAGATCTGAGTTCTGAGGGGGCGGCACGCAGAGAAATGGGAGTGTGTACGTGGCACCCTGAAATGAGTGAGGACTGGGCGGGATCTTAGGGGTCACCTCAGTGGCTGGGTTGATGGAGAGAAAGAGACCCCAAAGGGAGAGCTGAGACCCTCGCCCATGGCACAGCCAAGTCCTTGTCACTCAACCTGTGGGGGCCAGGGCCACGGATGCCAGGGAATAAATCCAAAGCGCCCTTTCGAGAAACAGCCGTCAGTGTTAGACCAGCACCAGAGTTAGAGCAGACAAGACGTAAGATGTCTCAGAAATTAATAGAGAATACTAAACCCTCCATTTCATCACTGGAAGAGAAGGTCACATAGCAAAATGAACACGGCTTCTTTCCCACACAGGATCCACCCCCCTGCAGAACAAGCCCAGCTCCATGCGTGAGCGGCCACAGAGCTCGCTAGCAAGAGCAGCGACAGCCTCGTGTGCCCAGGACACATGCAGTGATTCGGGCCTCGTTTCTGTGCACAGGTCCGGGCGTGCACAATGTCACCTTGATCTGTCCTCCAAGTCCGCCAACAAACACGAGCGTGGAGTTGTTCACATCCAGAACCGTCATCACCCCCGGGGATCTGCCCATCTTTGCCCGGGGGCCCTGAGTCGAGCTCATGTCCTTCACGCTCAGTGAGCCAATGTTCCCAAACCTGGGTGACAAAGCATCGCAGGAGGGACCTTCAGAAGCTCACACTCACACACACTCCCCACGCGAGGCCCAGTGGCTTCTCCCTGAGCATTTCTGCTTCCGGGGACGCCCACCCTGCAGAGCAGCCCTCAAGGACATGCGTGTACCATGCCACCTCCCCACGCACAGCGGTTACGGTGCGGCACATCGTTCACCGATGTCAGAAAACAAATCTGCTGCCTTCAACATCACATCATTTTTGTAAAGGACAGAAAAAATTCCCAGTGATACACCAGCACCAAAACCACAGTGCTGCTGAAAAGAAAGACAGATGCGTCCACAGTGGCTTTAAAGTGGTTACCTCGGGAGAGCGGCTTTCAAAGGAAATTTTTTGCTTTGTGTCTGGATACTGAGAATATGCAACTCCACGGGGACCCCCACCTCCTCTCCTGGTCTGCCTGCCTCTGCAGCCACACATTTTTGTTTGTCTTTTGAGGTAGGATCTCCGTTGCCCAGACTCGCCTTAAACTCATGGTGGTCCTCCTGCTTCAGCCTCTCAAGTGCTGATTTCACAAGTGTGCATGTACCACACCTGGTAAGAAGTCAATACTACATTTTTGTTTGTTTCTTTGAAGCAGGATCTCACTATGCCTCCCAGGCTAGCCTTGAACTCATGGTGATCCTCCTGCCTCAGCCTCCAGAGTGCTGGGATTGCAGGTGGGTACCCCACAGAGCTCCTACCAGGTTCCAGTTCACTTCCTTTCACTAGGGAGGAAGAGCATGTTGCCAGGTTGGCTGCCTCAGATTTAGACTTTCTAAAAGCAACATTATAAAAAGAATCTGAACTTTTAATAATTTCCTTTTTTTGATCATTGATTTTGGTAAGGAAGCTTATTTCCTCTGCAATAAGAAAAAAACCAAACCCTCATATATATGGTTAATCTAACCAAGTGGTTCTTTGATTATCATCGGACTGTCCAGGATTCCGAAGTATTGCACAGACTTAGTTTGAGAGACATGGAGGAACTGGGCTACCTGGTGGCGTGGATGCTGTACCATCTGTTCTCGTCGATTCGGAGGTCCGGGAACTCCAGCCGCGCGGACCCGGAGCCCAGGTCCCAGAGGAAGGCCACCTTCCCCCGCCGTGTCTCCACTGCCAGGAAGTCGGCCTGGGGACAGAGTGAGCGGGAGGCGTCTACACCCTGTCGTCCCCCTGCCAGCCAGGTCCGCCCTCCCCTTTCACCCTGGGGACAGAACCCAGGGCTTTCGCACTGAGCTACAGCCTCTGCTTTGTTTTCTGTCTTGTTTTTGAGACAGGATCTCACTGTGTAGTGTGACTGGCCTTGGACTCACTCACTCGGTAGCCAGGCTGGCCTCAAACTCATAGCAGTTGACCCTCCTGCCTCAGCCTCTGGGGTGCTGAGATTATAGGCATGTACTACCACCATGCCCGGCCTCAGCTTTTATTTTTTATTTTGAGACAGGGTCTTTTTAAATTGCTAAGTTGCCTAGGACGGGCTCAAACTTCTCACTCCACCTGCCTCAGCCTCCCAGAGTGCTGGGTTTACAGGTGTGCACCATCATGCCTGGCTCCAAACACTATGAAGGATGAGTATTATTTTCTACTCTTAAAAAGAAAATGTAAAAACCCAAAGGTTTCCCCAGTTTTGTGTCAGTGATAGGGAAGCTTCTGGGCATTGTGCAGGGGAAGCCCAGCCCACCACAGAGGAGTTTTATCCCCAACCCCCAGACCCTCCTCTTTTGCTATAAATCCCCCTCCTTGGGGCCAGGTGTAAGTCAGAGTCCTCGGGACGGTGGCAGCTTGGAATTAGTGCCTGGCCCAGCCTGCCAAAGTCTCCCATGAAGTCCCCAAGGAGTGGGAGGAGGCGCTGGGTGGACGGTGTGCGGGCCACACAGGGGAGCGTGTGGGGACTGCCTGGCCCATGGGAGCACTCCCTCGATGGCAACAGCCTGGCCCTGGGCACTGACCTTTTCCGTGGCTATAGCCCGGCAGCAGCGGTCCTCCCTGGGGAGCCCACCCTCCGGGAACCCAGGATGCTGCTGGCCGGAGGAGCCTGGGGACACTGAGGACTCCGATGCCCATGACCGTGGGGTCCCAGAGGGCGCCGGGCAGCGGGGTTCGGGGGCTGCAACTTGAATGAGGGCGCCGCAGGCAGTGCGGACAGGAAAAGCCGTGCTCTCCCACAGCCCTTCACGTGGTGGGTTAAAGCGAAAGCTACCACCCCAGCGAAGTGCACTCCTGTGAAGGGTGGGACTTCACGACACTCGGCTTCCTGTGCATCAGCGAAGTGTGGATCTGCCTTGTGCTCACTCACCCCACCGCTGCTGCCCAGGTAGAAGAGCAGGTTGTCGGGCTCCTGGCTCCGCACGTTCAGGGTCAGGGTGTTGTAGTTGGTGGAGGAGATCTGCGGCTGGTAGGCCCGGACACAGTCTCGGTCTGCAGCCACGGCCACTCTGATCTGTGGGAGGAAAAGCAGTGACACACAGGGCGGTGCCCCGGCGGCCACAGGGCCCGAGCCTCGTTCCCAGCCTCGAAACACACAATGCTCAGGCTTCATAAAAATCAGAAACCAGACCAGGTGGGAGTCACAGTATTTAGTGAAGTGTTTAAATATGCGAACATCCATTCACTTGGTTCGTAACGGAGTATTTTATACAGGAAACTGGCTTGCCAACAGCAGGTTTATTTTATTCTTTAAAGACAGGGTACCTTTGCCCCGGACCCCTTCCACCTGGCCCCACAGGGCAGCTGATGACTGTCTCGGCTCCTCTCCGGGGCACAGCCAGAGCCTGCACCACGGAAGCTGTCTATCAACTGTTTTCTTAGCCCTGAACTTGTCCAGGGGCCAATGTTTTTACGCATCTGGGGAGGGGAATCTGGGTGGGATTTGCGGAGACACAAATTGCTTCCTCAGACTCCTGAAGGGTGAGGCCCACACCACCAGGCATGCTGAAGGTGGAAGGAGAAAGACCACCATCTGGAACCGCAGCCCTAGGCGGCAGTCAGGAAGCCAGGCTGAAATTGGGCCTCTCCACACAGGTACGCGAGCTCTTTGCTAACGACCTTTGGGCACACGTGGGACCAGGGCAAACTCCAAAGCGGTGGGCCCCTCATGGGCTTGAAACGGGCCATGCTTACTGAGCCACGCTCTGCCATGGGATGGGGCCATGTCCAGCTGGGGGTCATCGAGCACTCACCGAGGCCGCCTGCTTCCGGGCCTGGCTGATGAGCAGTTTAATTTCCGATAAGTTTCTGCTCAGGTTCTCCTCTAAAGTCCTCAAAGGCTTCAGCTGCTCAAACAGAAGGCTGGCGTGTGTCTCCGCGTCTTTAACCTTCTTTCCGGCCAACAGAGCTAACAATGTAAGGGGCGAGGGGTTGCAACAGAGATGGGAAGAGGAGGAGATAAACAAATTGCTGCTTAGTAATGTACTGGATAAAACAGAACATCCTGAGAGTCAAACCCTTGCAGCTGAGAAACTCTCCGAAATGCCCCAGGCATCTCCAAGGTCTTTCCTTCCCTCTTGCCATGCACATTTCCGGTTAGGTTTTAGGGTCACAGCCTGGAACAGGCCCCGCTGTGTGCCCGGCCAGCCCCGGCCCACACGCCCAGAGACCACGACATACTGGTCACCGCGGAGTCCCGCAGCAGACCCCGTGTCTCCTGCACGGTGGCGTTCACTCTGGCCAGGCCAGCAGATGTGTCCAGCAGCTTCTGGCTCAGTCCCTGGGCCTTTTGCACTGCTCCTGCCGCACTCCGATCGGCAGATTCAGCCAGTTCTTTGGTTCTGGCTGCTCGGTCTCCAGCACCTGAAAGAGATGCGTGTACAAGGGGGCACGCAGGTATAACACTGCATCCGACACACTTCTGGACAGAAACAGCGGGGTGATTTTCTTGACTACGGAACACAAAATAGGGCCTCTCATTTTCATGGCACATACTCAGGCTGCATAGTCTATGCTGTACTGCCCCCATTTAGGGACTGATGAAACACTCCGGGTAGCAATTCCGCACCATGGGATTCGATGCACAGCGGAATCACAGACACAAAAGCTAATGGCCATGTGCTTGGTCAGTTAAGTGATAATAATAAGCAGAGATCCTTTATTTGGGCCCTTTTCTACCCTATCTTCTCATCTTGTTTTTGTCTTGTTTTGAGCACTAGGGATTGAATCCAGGATCTCTGCATGGAGCTACAACACCCCAAGCTGGCCCTTTTTTATTTTTTATTTTGAGACAGGATTTTGCTAAGTTGTGAAGTTGCCCGGTCTGGGCTCCTCTTTGACCTCCCAGAGGGCCAGGGTCGCAGGCGTGCCACCACACCCAACGTCATTGTCTCGAAACCTTCTCCAGCCACGCGGTCCAGAAGAGAAGCTGCTGAACTTACGTCTCGAGGAGAGGGAAGGGTCCTGCGCTAGAGAAAGTGGTGTCTGCGCCAGAATGCCCTGGCTGCCGGAAATGACAGCAGAATAGAGACGGGATGACCACAAAAGGTAAACAGGAATTCAGTTACTCAAGAAAAATCTAGGTGAGGCTTTTTATTGAGAATTAAATCCCAGGCTTTCACACTGAGATACACCCACCCCTGCATCCTCAGCCCTTTGTACTTATTTTATTTTATTTTTTCTTTCTGGTACCAGGGGTTGAACTCAGGACCTTATGCTTGCAAGGCAGGCGGTGGAACCACTGAGCTAAATCCCCAGCCCAAACCCTTTTTATTTGAGGTAAGGTCTCACTGAGTTGCACTCTCCTGCCTCAGCTTCCTGCATTTCTTGGATCGCAGGTGTGTGCACCAGATCTGGCAAGGATTTTTTCCTGCCCTTATTATTAATTTTAAAAATCGGTACATTTTTCATAATGATTATATTCCTCAGGGGACTTGGAACATGTACATAACTCACCTAAGCTCTTTTCAGCTACTTTCCCTACTTTTCTTCTCCTTTCTTGCCATCCTTTGGTCCGCGTCCCTTTCCTAAAAAGGTCTACCTCTTTTTTTCCAATTATTTATCTTTTATTTTCCTCTTTACTTATATTTTGGGCTTCTCATATAAGAGAAACCATGCATATTCAAGTTTGTGTGTCTGGTTTATCTCATTTAACATTATGGTCTCAAGGTGCAGTCATTTTCCTCAAATGACTCAAGTTTATCCTTGTCTATGGCAGAGTAGTACTCCGTGGCATGTAAACACCACCTTCTATCTATCCATTCTTCGGGTGTTATGGACACGGGCTGCTCCCACGATCTAGCTCTTAGGAGTTATGCTGCTATAAACATGGGTGTGCCTGGTCACTGCGAGATGCTGCCTTTAACTCTTCTAGGAAGACACCTGGAAGGGGAAGAGCTGGGTCAAATGGAATCTCTAGTTTTAGGTTCTGAGGAGTCTCGATACAGTTTTCCATGATGGTTGTACTAGTTTACATTCCCTCCAGCAAAAGCATTTTTTGTTTGTAAAGGCAGTACTACTCATTGAAAAATGTTTAGTCACGCAAAGGGCAGATCATTAACACTAGAAAAAGCAGGCTGCAGTGTACAGGTGTTCTGGTTACTCTCTTGCAACTTTCCTGTAAGTTTGAAGTTTCCAGATAAAAATTCATGTTTACTCAAATATGCCATCCAGTATAACCTCTTGGGAGACAAAGAAAGAGAAGGACAGTAAACCTCCAGATCACCGAAGAGGGAAGGAGGCCCGGCACACCTGATCATCAGGAGGCCTAAACAGTGGGCAGAGACATAGCAGGAGGGAAGGGGCCCAGAGATGGAGGGAGAAGAACTAGGATGCGTCATGTACACACGCCCACTCCCCACCATGGACACCAACAGTGCAGACTGAAAACGGACCAACCAGAGACACATGAGAGTAAGAGAAGTCGCAGGTAACGTAAATAGCTCTCAGCTGCACAATCCACTTGTGTTACGTGTTTAAAAGACGTCCTGTTTACGATTTTAATGGAGACTGCATTTCCGGTCCTCAATGTGAAAGTGATCAAGAGGCTATCTGAACATGGCTTACCGCTTCGGGAAGGAAGGTTACTAGGCAGGAATCTTCAAATTCCCAGGCATTTCCCTTCAAGACACATTTACTTTATCCTCTTCACTGTTGAGCTCTTTGAACGGCCCCTTGTGAATGTAGGCATTTAGGGTCCGCCTCCCAGAGAAGACTGGTGTTTCCATGCAGGAGTTCAGATGTTATTTTGAAAACATCAGTGATTGTAACTTCCAGATCCTGTCTCTTTACAAGGAAAAACCTGATCAAGCTTGGCCTCCTAATCTATCTATCAGTCAGGGCTCCGAACTAGACCTGAGGCAAGAGCGCCTCAGAAGGAGAAGACTCTCATTAAAGCAAGATGATCCTGGGCCAGGGATTTAGCTCAGCGGGTCCACCACCTGCTCACAAGTGCAAGGGGAATAGTTGATTTGATCCCAAGTTTGATTCCTAGTACCAAAAAACAAACAACAAAAAAAAGACGCTGCTTGGACTGACCTTCTGGGACCACTCTCAGTATGGAGAGGGATTCACTGGTCTGCCAGGCAAGTCTTCCTGCGCTCTCCCGAACTCTGCTTGCTGTGCTTTGCAGTTCACTCAGCTTCCGTGTAAGACCTATCAAGGAGAGGAAACTGCTGCCTTTTAGGTGAACTCGCAAACATGCTGCCTAGGCAACAGCCCAATCATTCCCAATCTACCCTCCGAATCAATAGCTGTTACAGACGCCCAATACTGAAAGGTTTACCCGGAAGACTTGGCACCATTCATTACGGACGTCACCAGTGTGTCTTTACCTCCCTCAACCATTTTTCTACTTCACTTGATGATGCCTTTCTCAGATTTCTTCTTGATTTTCATGCCCAAGACTAGAGCTGGGGTGAAGCATGGTGCCTAGCAGACGGTCACTCCCTGTCCACTTCCTCCTTAGAGCTGTGTGGCCAGATCGGGCTCCTCCTTGGGGATCTGCCCGCTCGCCCCTCCTGTCCCTGGCCAGCCCGACCCTCCCACTCGCTTCTGCCCACCAGGCTGGGACTCAGGGAACCGCCTTCTGGTGGAATCTGCGCTGTCTGACCAAAGCTTCTGTGCCTAATACTGAATCGCACTTGAATTTTGAATTAAAATATGAACTTTAATTGTTGGAAAGTTCACAATTTCAGAGATGATGAAATACTTCTATGTGTATAAACAAACCACACCTCCTCCACACGGATGCCAGAGTTTTGGACTGAATATTATGCTCATCTGTGTGTGAGATGGAGGCAAGGTTCTAAACTGTGGCTTTCAGAAAAACACATCTAATTTCTCCATTCAGGCAGCCGTGGGAGGGTCCAGTCCTGCACCTGGAGCTGGTCCGCCAAGGGGAGGAGCTCTGTGCATGGCTCCCCGCTCACCCCTACCGGTAGCAGAAGCCCTGAAAACAGTAAGGCAAAGGCACGCAGTGGGGCAAGAGGAGCTGTGCACCTGTTGCGCTGCTCTTACACAGCAGATCTTGGCTGCCACTGTGTCAGGCTTACTGAATTTGGATGGTTTTTACAAATGGCCAGGAGCTGCTTCTTCAAATTTGAAGACAAACTAAACATACGGGAATTATTGAAGGGTTAGTGATTTGGATTTAATCCAGTGATCACTGGAGGAATTGCCTGCCAAGAGCCTGACACGGTGCCAAGCCTGTGAGGGCAGAAGCGACACCAAATACAGCACAGCCTTCAAGGTGCCGGGAAATAAGGAGGGCCGAGCGGAGGGGGGCCTGAGAGCGGAGGTCACTCGACAAACAGGAGGACAGAGGGAGGCCCGAGCTCAAGCAAGGAAGGTGCAGAGACACGTGCACCCCTACATGAGTGAGTGCTGAAGTTACACGAAGCTCAGGCCACGGAGAGCGGGAACACTGGTGTGACAGAGCTCAGGGAGGACAGCCGGGCCAGGACTCCGCCCCACACTGGCCCGGCCACATACTGACCTCGCTGCTTCCCACTCAGGCTGCTGCTGCCTGCTAGAAGCCCGGAAGTGCGTTGCACAGCCTCCTTCCCCTTTGAGATGAGGGACACCGAGGACTGTAAAACAGAAAGACTTGAAGGTGGTGACCGCGGGACACCAGGAATCCCGCTGGGGACAGGGAGCAGCATGGAGAAGGGCCACCAGCTGGGCTCCAGGAAGAACGCAGCCAGAGAACCGGCGGGGAGGGCTCGAGACCAGGGAGGGGCAAGGACTCGAGTATCTCTGTGAGAGAGTAAAGAAAGAACCCGGCATTATGGAAGGATTTTCACCACAAGTAAAGAAAAATATCTCAAGTACAATACAGGCAACATCCTTGTCATCCTTGTCTTAAGAAATGGTAATTTTTTCCTCATCTCTTCAATACTAGTTTTAAGTCTTGATGAAGAGTATTTATGATGAAAAAAATTAAATGAACTGGGCATGCTAATGTGTGCCTGTAGTCTCAGGTACTGGCAAGGCTGAGGCAGGAGGATCTCTTGAATCCAGGATTCTGAGGTCAGCCTCGACAAAGCAGTGAGACTGTGTGCTTTAAAGAATAAAACTGAAATGTCTATCACACGATGATAGGCATCATGAACAGGATCCACCCGAAAAGAAGCTACAGGAGTTGTATTCAGCCCGCAGAGTCGTGGTCCCAGCCCTCCTGGAGCCTTCCTGCAGGCAGGGCGGGAGCAGGACTGCACTCCAGGTCCCACCCTTCTTACCAGCTGTGTCCTTCTAGCCATCTCCCGCGCATCTGTGGCCAGGCTCTCCGACTGTCCCGTCAGGCTCTGGATGTTGGAATGGACATGCACCGCGCTGGTCGCATTCAGGGACACATGTCTGACGTTTTCAAGGCCGCTGTGAAATCAGAACAGTTAGAGATGCTGTGATGAAGTGTTCCAGGGAATCTGCTCAGTCGCTCAGCAAAATTACAAGTGCCCACTGCTGAGACGCGCATTTCCTTCTAAGCCAAAAGTCATCTCTGAGAAGCAGCTGTGGTTTTGCAGTAAAGTGTGGAATCACTCTTCAGTTATGGAAGTCAGGGACTGTGGCTGTGCGTCTGTCCTTCCACGGTCGCCAGCCACCTGCCCTGACCTGTCTCCCTGCCGCACATGCCGGAGACCAGGGTGCGTCCACCTGGTTCTCAGCTCCGCTGCAACGCACCTGCTACAAAGCTTCCCACAAAGCCCTCCCGTACCCACCGGGGGTGCCGGCTCTCCTGTCTCAAATGGCACAGCCCAGAGGACGAAACCCACTCATGACATGGCGGGAGGGCCAGGTAAGGGTCTGCCAGCCCGACCACGTCCTGATGCATGGCAAGTCCCGGGAAGCTGCTGGCAGTGGTGCAAGTCCACCCCGCTCGCCCTATCTGGAAAATGCAATCTGCAGAACTCACTTCATTTTCTTTCCAAGGTTATGGAGTCGCACAATCCCCGGGCAGACACTGCCGTCACTGTTACAACTGAGTGGTAAGATATGGTGATTCCCAAATAAAAGATAAGAATGTTATCGAACTTCATGGAGCCTGCCCAAACGCCTTCACCACTCTTACACTAAGTGATAAAGATTTTCTTGCAGCTAGGGAGTCCGAATCCTTCCCTCTTTTCAGAAGTGATGAATGATCACAAAGAGAGAAGCTAAGTATCAAATTCCTCTTGCTATCCCGGCTCCCTGCAGCACAGGTAGGGAGCAGCATTCAATTCAGCACATAATTTACACAATGGGCCACCTTATATCATTTTTTTTCCTAGTACTGGGGATCGAACACTGGTCCTTGCGCTTGTGAGGCGGGCGTCGGAACCACTGAGCTAAATCCCTGGCCCCGCCTTTCTCATTTTTAATTTCTTTTGTGGCATGAACTAACCTTTAATGGCAGTGTTTTTTTAATGGGGAGATGTTTTTCCTCGTGGACAGAATATACCCCACACAAAAAAACACACATTTCACCTCCCAGTGTAGCTGGACTTTTTGCATCCACTGTTTGGCCCAGATTTCAAAGAAATAAGTTTACCAATGAGCACCCCAGATTGCGTAAATCCCTAATGAGACCTAAAACACTGTTATGGTTTGGGTCTGGATGTCCCCCCAAAGCCTCATGTGGTCAGAGGTGGCTGAATCTGGAGTGTGTGATGCTGGATTAAGAGCTTGTGGTTACTAAACCAATGTACTGATGCGCTCACACCGCCCTAAGCCCCATAGTCTGGATGCATAAAAGGCAGAAAGACACCATTAAGGTCCCTTGTTGCTTTTGCTGCTGGGTGGATGCCATGACCTACTTCTTCTCTGTGATGCCCCTCTGCCATGTGCCACCCGGCCTGGGAGCCAGCCAAGCATGGACTGAAACCTCTACAAACTGTGAGCTAAGTAAACCTTCCTTTAACTTTGGGTATTGGGTATTTTGTCTCGGCAGAGAGAAAAAAGTAACCAAGGCCCACTGGTTCCGCTAGTTTCTGTATATTAAAATCACCTGGACATCTTTAAAAACGTGGCAAAGCCCAGGCCACATCCCAGAGCACTTAAGTCACAACCTTGGAGGACAGAAGAAGCGGATGAAAGCATCAATATTTCACGAAAAGCCCCTGGTTAGTCCAATGCGCCTGAGTTTGGCAACCACTGGCCTGAAACCATGTTCCATGTTTAAAGGAACTTGGGACACATTTCACAGATGTAAAATAACTGCATTACAATGGTAGGCCTTCAGACAGGGGAGTGTAGTCGGGGATGGTGTCTTCCAGCGCTGGGAAAAGAGACCAACACTCCTACAAGTAGATAGGGGGCTGGCTCGTCTTTCTTTCAAGTCATCAGCCCCACAGAGGCAAGCTCTGCAGAGACAGAGCACCCTCGTGCAAGCCCCGAGCTCTCAGCAGCAGCTCACTGAAGTAGGGACGGCGTGGTACCACCACGTGCTGGTGTCTCATTCCCACCCGTCCAGTCTGCGTTTTCCCTCAGTGCATCTATGCCAGTGGTAGAGGAGGTCAGCAGACGCGGGAGAAATCCGATGTGCTGTGTGAGAGGACGCGTGTGTCTCACCTGTCCAGGACACCTGCTGACCTCTGGAGCTCGGCGGCGTGACCCTCAGCCCTGTAGACCCGGTCGACCACGCTCCTCTGGGACATCTGCATGACCAGCCCATCCACGTGGCTCCTCAGTTCGGCTGTCCACATGAGCAGCTTGTCGCGGTGACGCTCCCCCTGCTGCACGGAGGAAGGGGTTAACGCCGTGGACGCATGTGCGCCACCTGACGGTGCACACGCATACGGGGTCCCGGGAGCCTCACCGCCAGCGTGGTCTGTAGACTGCCTGCCTGGGCCGTGGCCAGGTCCATCAGCCTCCTCCCTTCAGCAACCAGCTCTGAGGTCACATTGAGCTGTTCCTGAATATGCAGCTTTTTATTCTGCAGCAAAAAACACTTTTTAAGGGTGTTTCATAAAAGGAAGTCAGCGTCTTCAGCCACCGGCCAAGCGTGTCCTTGGGGCTGACTGGGAAACTGGATGCTATCCTGTCTGCTTAGGGCATGGGTGACCAATGCTACGTGGGAGAACAAGGGGACTCACGCTGAAACTCTGCAGGTTGGCCTCGCTGAGGAGCAGCAGGTGGGCGCTCTCCTGGGTCTGGGCCTCCGCCCGCCTCAGCAGCTCCCCCGCCGCCTGCAGCTCCCCGATGTGCTTCGAAAGGAGGTGCCTGGCTGCCTCCTTCAAAACTTCCTGCTCTTCCTGTGGCAGCTGAAAATTCTTCTGAACCGCAGACAGCACATCTTCAGCAGCCCTGACAAATGCAAACACTTCACCCAGTGAGTCGGACGGCAAACCTCCCTTCTCTGAAATGGTGGTGGAAGGGACTTTTCAAGAGATCCGTACCCGGTGTCCTCTTGAAATCCTAAGTGACACACCATCACTTCCTAGTGTCAAAGGCAGCCATGGGAACGGCAGGTTTCCACTGTAAACTATCTTTGTGCACAAGCTTATCTGGGCTCAAAACATTGGGACTTATCCTGAGTTAGGGATGTATTCTCTTATTATTATAATGTGGCCAGAAACTGCAAGTAGAAGGCTGTTCAGCGTTTCCTGTGAGTTTACCAAGTTACTTATATGACATAAAGGCTTTTTCCATAGTTGCATAAGAAGCAGGTTTTATAAAAGCTTTCAAGTTCAAACTGCTTAAAAGATGTATTAGTGCTACTAGTAAACACAAGCTTTAGGAAATCAAAAGATTTTTTTTCCAATTCCCTTACGTAAAGTAATTAAACTGCCTTCTTAAATCCATTTGGAACGTACAGCCACACAGCTGAGTGGTGAAATCCCAGACCACAAACCTTTGCCATGGTTCACCCTACCCCAGGGACTCTGCCTCAACTGTGTCCTGTGTCGGATAACCTCAGGAACAGCCTTGCAAGGGCCCTGCAAACTGGGTGGCTCGTGGCATCAGAGCACAGCGTTAGAACACAGCAGAAGGCATAGCAACAACAGCCATTTGCACTCTGACATCAGCAGAATAGCATCAGGAGTTATTTAGACTCCCACACCTTCTAACTGCAATGGATATGCTGTGCTTGGAAGCAAGCAACAAAAACTAAGGCAGAGTTCATGGAAAACACAATCTAAACTCTAATGTGTGTAAATAAAAGGTTTCTTTCTTTTGGGGGCGGGGCGGTACTGGGGATTGAACCCCAGGCCTTTTGCACTGAACTACATCATCAACCCCTTTTTTATTTTTCACTTGCAGACATGCTCTTACTAAATTGTTTGGTTGCCCTGGCTGAGCTCAAACTTGTGATCCTCCTGCCTTAGCCTCCCAGGGGCTGGGATTACAGGCTGTGCCCTCACACCCAGGAGGAAGGTTCCGTTAGTTGCAGTTCCACTTACAGACTGCAGACAGAAGTCAGCAATTCCATCAGTAACTTTACTCCAAAGAGAGACAGAAGAGCAGCCATGACAGGAGGCAGAGGCCCAAAGGGCCCAGCCCTGGGGCGGGGCGGGGCGCCCTCCTTCTCTCTGCCTCTAAAATCCGCTTTTCCCAAAGGCACCAGTAGCCCTTAGCTGGCAAAAGGTCTGTTGTTTGCCTTTGCATCCCCAGGGCCTGGGCCATGCCTGTCACGCATGTGCTGATCACCACAGGTGACCCTGGGAGGGATCGGCCCACGGGTGACTCCAAGGAGCTGCAGGGAGGCTGCTGGGAAGCTTCTCAGCATATATGGGTCTGCCCTTCCTGGACTGGGGCAGAACCACTGTGGACCGAGTGTGAGGAGAAGCCCGGCTCCCTCCAGTGCAGAGCGGCCTCTGTGGACCTTCCTGCTGGACCAGGCCCCACCCCCAACCACAGGCCACCTCCGGACACCTCCGGGCCCTCACAGAGGCTGCGGGACTCGATGACCAGCTCTGTGTGCACCTCCCAACGCACGCCGCTCCTGGGCCCCCCAGCAAAGCACCTGCAATGCCGGAAATGATGCCAGATACCAAGAGAAGGCACACACCTAGCCCTGTACATGCTGCCTGGAGTGCACACTGCTCTCAGAAATAAACTGTAGAGAACGCTTTGCAATTGCATATCAGGAATCCTCAAATTGCAACTTCTTTGACCAAATGATTCTACTTCTTTGTATCTATTGTCAAGATAATGACCTGGAATGCAGGAAGCAATCATAT